GATTATTAAGCAGAGAAGTGCGCCAGCCAACGATAAGGTCCAGTGGAAGCACTTGAAAGTGGGGCGCCAACCCGGCGCTTTCATTATGGACTGAAATGCGCACGCCAGGTTGATGCCTAGATAACACATGAGCAAAGAACTCGGTGAACAAGGCAGTTAGGGATTCCAGGACCGCGATGAGAATTCCGATTTCTCAAATAAGAAGGGTTAAGAATATTACGACCGAGGGCTCGCCGCGTCGATCGGTCGACTTGAACATTCGAAGGAAGAGGATCACTTCGTCGGAGGCGATCGCCTGAAAACATTGAGTTTTAGAGTCAGGAATAATAAGCCTATTCTAGCCACAAGGCAATTGACGTCGGCATTTTTTTTGTTGCAAGGTCTTGAGAATCAGCAGGGAAGTCGTCAAAATGCGATGCTCATTTTTTAATAAAGATTGGCTCAAATGTAGGATAAGTTTTTCTGAGGCACATGTGGCACTCTTATCCCGCTCTGCGGAATCTACCATGAAGGGTAATGTTTCCATAAAAAAATTATTTTTTTTCCGCATGAAACTGGCCATGATATGGATTAAAAGTGTTTTTATCTCTGACCGCTCGCTGAGTTTCGCGTGCTCTCTCGACAAACAAGAACGTTGAATATCTCGGCTGTCCATGCAAAGTACAAGCTAAAATTTTCAAGAACTGCTATGTGTCTTATACCTAAAGTGTGTGCATGCAGACTTTTTAGAGTAAAACGAAAAATCTGAGCGTCGCACTTCGAAGCCTTCTCTTGGTAGTCTTGCAGCTACCCTCAACGGATTGATTTTGCATTCTTCTTACGTTCTGCAAGAAAGATGACCCCACACACCTACCTGCAGAATTCTTGGCGCTCCAGTCAACGATTGCATTCCAGAGCCTATTGTGGACGCAAGACAACCAATCAAGATGACAATCGGCGCGGGGACCGTCAACTCAGCGACGATCATCTTGCCCATCTCGGACTCGCCATGCTTATCGCGGATAAACATCTCAGAGACGGTCATTCCGAAAAATGCAGTGCCGAAAATGTTTGAAACATAAAATTGTTGTGTTCTGCTACACGTATAGTAAATTAAAAAACTTTTTTTTTATTTTGACAAAGCAACAAAAACTTTTTTTTTTATTTTTTAACAGCGTCCTTTCAAAAAAAAAGCCTAAAAATATTTGCAATCAATTTACTGGCAATATAAGTGGTCAGCTGCGCGCCAACAATCCCCAAGGGGATAGCCACCGCTGGATCTTTCAGATTTCCCGACAGATTTGATCCGACCATGATCCCAGTGACTGATGGGAAATACACTCCAACCAGCACCATAAAACTGGTCGTGGTGTTGTGAAACACCCTGTAGCTTCCCTTCTCAGCTTTCGGTTCAGTTAAAAATATAAGTCGACTTGGGCTAGTTACTTAGGTTTATTTACTATAACAATAACCTTAAACCCAGAGAATATTACAAGGCTTGCTTGCGCAGCCACAGATACGGGCTCGGACGCGACCGTCCGGCTTTTTTTCTTATTCAGTCCTCCTTTGACCCGATCCTCAATCTTGCCAGATCGAGGTGGGCGGAGTCTAGACTTGGGATTACAATGGTAGATAGATATTGTATATTCGTATGAGACTATTACAGAATCTTACAGTTCTTTCGCAGGATCACCTCGAGTCAAAACTTGACCCGCCTTCTGGTATTTCGAAAACAGATTCCTCCAGGCATCTGACGAAAACCTGGTAATTGCGCCCTGAGGTCCAATGCTTTGCGGATGGGATTGTATAACCTTCATAAAGCACGGATCGCAGTTCGTATTGTTCGAACAGAATGTGGGCCGTCAATCGAGCAGGCCTGTGTGTAGTAGAACTTCTCAGCTTAGGTGACCAAATTTACGGGGCGATCTCCAATCATACATACAGTATTTGAGCGAGTCGGTACCGTTGAACTTCATGAATTCACCGATAAATGTGCAAAGAATACAACCCAGGACCATGAAGAGGGTTGGCAATGCGCATTTATTGACAACCTAAAATACGGTTTCTTGGTAACAAAAAATCGATTTTAAATGAGGAATAAGGCGATCAGATTGAAGTTTTCGACGTCCTGTAAACTTTGAATCGATTTTTTTGAATTTGACATTACAGTACATACATATATGTTGGCACAATAAAAATACGTATAATTGTATCTGCTGTTCAACACCAAAGAGATAGTGGTAGCCAGCAAAAATGATACACCGTACTATAAGTATAACATCCACAATCTTTACCTTGTGTGTATATAGAATTGTTTGGAGTCTTTTCAGGCTTAAAATATTTACTTACCGTCGAAGGCAGTCGAAGGCGGAACCTTATTCTTTCTCTTTGGTCACTCATTTTTTCTGGAATTTTCTCCATTGGATATCAGTCCATTCGCAAAGTTTTTGAAGTGATTTCGGCGACATGCACTGTGCGAAACAAAAGTTCACTTTGCACTGTGCAATTTTCGGCTTTTTGCACGGTGCAACAGGCTTCTGGCCCAGCGCGTCGGCGCCAAAAACTTGAACCGCCGGATATCAAAACTGTGTACTTTTAGATTTGAATCATTGTATTTCGAAAGTTGTTATTGTGTCCATTTCACGTTTCTTACTGCCGTCTTTCGTAAAAACACACTTCCGTCGGTCGTGAAACACAAACTTTTCAACAATTTTTTGCAAGTTTCTGTAAATTATTTTAGTTTCTTAAAGTTTTTTGAAATTTTGCAAAACATTTTTACAGCACTATTTATACTGCACATCCCTTGAAAGTTTAATATTTCCGGAAACAAAATATTTCCATTGAAAACTCGGAATTGTTGGAAAAAATAATTTTGTTTCAACTAATAATGATTTTATTACAAGCTCCGCCCACTCTCCTTCCTCTACACACTCCCTCGCCTTCTAACTCTCTCCTCTCCACATTCTCTCGTCTCTCCCACCGTCTGACTCACTCCTCTCCACATTCTCTCGCACTTTTCAACCATTCTCTGCAAGTTTCTGCAAATTATTTCAAAGTTTCTAAAAATTTTTGTAAGTTTTTCATTTTTACAGCAATATTTTACTGCGCATTCAGTTTTTTTGGAATACTCGGCGTCCCTTGAAAGTTGCACATCTTCTTGTTAAAAACTCGGAACTGTTGGAAAAAATAATTTTATTTCAACTAATAGTGATTTTTTTCACAAGCTCCGCCCCTCTCCTCCGTCTACACACCTTCTCACCGTCTAACTCTATACTATAGACATTCTCTCGTCTCTCTCACTGTCTGACTCTAGTCTTTTACCCTACTCTCTCACTTCCGATTCCCCTGGCACATTGTTCTTTCGTAATTGGAAAATGTTTTTTTAACGGGGCGGCACTATCACTGATTGAAAAAAGCGGGATGAAGCGCCGCAAATTCAAATTTACCACAATTTCATTTACGCAAAAACCATTGACACACATACTCATTGAATGATATTTTCTGAAATTTCGATGCTCCTATGAGAATCAATGCCACATCTATTATCATCTTAGCTTTTCCATATTCATCTAACACATCATGGGTGTTTCTGTTAGAGATTCGGTCATATCTCGAAGTTCCAACGAAACTTGAGAATACCCGATATGGCAGTTGATGCAGAATAATCTAGAGAAAAAATGTGTTGACTTTCAGAATTTTCTGTTCGCGAATTTTTTTCAATTCCAGGAGTATGTTATTCTAAGAGGTGGTATCGCCGAACATGAGATAAATAAGATTATTAGTATTGTTGGCTCTCCTTGAATATATATTCATGTATTTTTTTGTTAAATATGACGTTATTTATGCTGTTACACATCACTTTATGCATGTTGTCACAACAAAAGGAAAATTCTAAAAAAAATGCACAATGCCACATTTTTTGGCAAAAAAATGTTTCTGTGGTGCAACCGGCAAAAATTTTTAGCTTCGCAAGCAAAAAAATGTAAAACATTACGCCAAAAACTTGTTTTTCGTGGTGGTACAAACCATAATTAGCAGAAAAAACGACGTGCCTTGGTAATTTTTGTACCCTATAACTACTCTTATTAATTCTTTTGTTCATCTTAAAGTCCGAGGTTCTCCAAGCCAAGGCGCAAATAAGGAATGTTCCCGCTGTGGGACCCAAAACGGCGGGTCTCTCTCGCTAAAAAAAACACTGCGGTTTCACACAACAGAAAAGCGGGAACTTCGTTTTGTTCTTTTTTTGAAGCGGGGGCGCAGCTCGCGGGGGCAAAAAATGACGTTTTTTAACTGTAACTTTTAAACTAACAGTCGAATCAAAAATCGTCCAGGGATTTAGAAAATACAGTTTGTCTTTGATCTTATGACGTATTAAACACATTGCAGAAGTGAAATCAGAGACCACTTGTCTGTGACGTTAAATTTACCTATGTTGGGATTACTGTATCAAAACCAAAAATCGAAATGGGATGGAGAAGTCGATATATAGACACTGAAAACGTCAAAAAAGGTTGACTGAGCGTGAAGTTATGACACCCAAAAAACATGCTGATTTTTGACAATTTCGAAAGTTTTGTACCCTATAACTACTCTTATTAATTCTTTTGTTCATCTTAATATTCACATGGACACTGTATATCGCATTTATCTGCGAAAAGAAACGTTTGACCTTGCGCGAAAGGATCACAGATGTTGCGCGAAGTGGATCCCATGGGACGCCAGTCACGACTCTCGGAAGAAATAAGATTTTTAAATGTTACGCACATGAAGTGTAATAAAATATAATTTGAGTCATATGTCATAAAATTGTATAGAACGTTTGTATAAATCACACAATTGATTAATTATCAGACTCCCACGAAAAGATTACAAATTATCAGATGTTCCCCCAAGGGGTAGTATGTTATAATGACCATATTAATTATCAGATGTTACCTGAGATGTTAACACCTCTTACAACACCTTTTAATTAATTAGTGTCGCTTGATGATGGGGGTTCGGTGAGAGGTACTTATACACTACTAATCTCTCACCGAATAAGGTGTCAAATTGATGGACAAAAAACTGCATGTACGTCCTTCCATGTACATGTAGACGCCCAGGTGTTGCTGAAAAATGTCGTAGACTTCTTCGAAATTCAAAATTACCCTTCGAATTTCCTCCTCGACCGCATGCACATCATAAAGAACCGCATAAATCATAGGAGCGCAAATTGCAGCCGGCACTAGAATATGCGCCAACAAAATAGCAATCAATATTGATGGATATTTTGTCATGTCTTTGCCGGTTTTCACAACAACCAAGCGATACGAAAACGCGGTGATGACGGAGAGGCCGGTGCCACACATGGCGATTACAAAAGATATCTGGAACAGGTTTTTTACAGGGTAAAAATGAAGCTTGGATTTTTATGAATCTGTCGGGAAAATAATGAGCACTCTGTGGTATCGAAAATCTCGCCTCGTCGCAGCCACGCATCACATTTCTAGCCGTCGCAACGCGATAATGGAAGATTCCAAGGCGCGACAAATACACATTATTTTTCCGACAGATTGATACCAAACTTGGCTAAAATGCAGGTTATGATTTGCCAAGAAATATGTGAGATTACTAGGCCACAGTTTGCAGAAACAACCGAGATTTTTTTGCCCAAGGTTGGTGGAAATTCGAGTTTTTTTGGCAAGATTACAATTTGAAAAATTACAGCCTTATTTCTACTGGAGGCTGCAATGATTATGCAAAAAATCGACTTATTCTGCGCGAAATTGGCCAAGATATGGTCGAAAAAAGCGCGTGTGTCTCTGACCGCTCTCCGCACTTCGCGTGCTCTCTCGTCGAAAAGATGGTTGAATATCTCGGCTCTCCCTGCAAATCGTGAGCTAAAATTTTCAGGGATTGCTTTACGGAGTGTAAAAAGTATCTACTCAAAATTTCAAGAGAATCGAAAATTTTTTGATTTTGCAAAATTTGCTATTTTCCCTTCCGTTTTACTGAACTTACCATCAAAATAAGCATGATTGCCATACTATGACTGTCCGCAAAAACCCCTCCAACACAAAGTCCAATCACCGGCAGCAATAATTGCGGCATATGAAGAACACTGACGATGAAATCGACCAGCCATGACCACATCTATTATATATTATTTAAAAAGTCATCATTTTTTCGTTTTTCAACATAAATGACATCACAAATCAAGGGTAAAACCTACAGTAATACAAATTAAATACTTCTTATAGTCCTGCGCTCTATATGGAGTGCGATTTACTATGAGGTAGATCGATATAATCGTCGAAATCAACGATAGAATGAAAGAAACCCGCATGGTTCTCTTGTAAATGACCATTACACTGGCGTAATCTTGCGAAATCTCCCATGCTTGTTGCTGATCCATGTTAAAATAGGGATATTAGGGTGTTATTAGGGTCATTAGACATGATCTAGAAGAAAAAATGAATTGGTATGCGAAAAGTGACAAGTTATACGGTCAAATATGTTTTTGAAGGAAAATGGGGGAAATAAAATGTTACAGTAAGCTCACTTTAAATTTTTAACGAAATTACATCATAACAAAGCAGATTTAGAGAGCGCATGATTTTTTATGCGAAAAGTGACAAGTTATACGATGAAAAATGTCGATCAAAAGGAGTTCAAACATCAAGTGTAAAAGTTATTTAATGAACGCAGTTTTAGAATATTACAGCTTAATGAAGAATTATATTCATTATTTTATACCTTTCCAAGCGCATAATTACCTTATATCGCAATATCAGACATATTTTTTTACCAACCCCATGATTAACATAAATAATATAAAATTTCAAACTTTCAAAAGCATATATGTAGTCAAAAACAAGTCTAACAAAGTCCAGGTTATGTGAAAATAATAATTCAATAATAAACTTTTGCAAGTCTTTCCAAATATGGCGAAAATTTGATTAATTTCAAAAAATTTGGATAATTTTTGGAAAAAAGTAAAATTGTAAACTGTTTTTACAATAATTTTAATTTTAAAAGGCTCTAAAAATTCATAAAATTCCCTCCAATCCATCAGCCCATCCCAAAACAGGTGGTTTATTCGCGAACTCGACGAAAAAATTGGATAAATAATATTAAAGTAGGTGTTATCATAAATAATGCGAAAAAATATTAAGAACGGGTTAAAACGTTGCGCACGACCTTTCCAGAGGCAGACTAGACAAAATTGCAGACAAAATACGTAAAAACAGAATAAAAAAGAGGCTAAAAAATGTGTTAATTACGAGAGAAATAGAGGATCTGCGCCCACAGATGGTAGAAACATTGGTCGCCGAAAAAACTCCGCCAAAGGAATTCTGTGGCGTACTTTTTGACCGCACCACGTGCCCGGAAATCTGAGCTCATCTTGGACTTCCATTGTCGGCAAATTGCGGAGAAACGGCGGAGCCAAGCGGCGATGTGATCTACATCAACAACATCGCCGTTAGCTCCATGAATGGGAAGGAGTTGATCCAGCGGCTTCGTTTGATGATGGCCTAGGGCCCAGAGGTAGGAGAGAAGGAAGATCTGTAAGGATTTCTCGATTATGCAATGAACAAAACAGGGGTGGTCAGCGGACCCTATTTTTCCGATTTTCGGCCCGCGGCCCGGCCCGTCTAATTACCGGCCCGGCCCGGCCCGTCTAGTCTTTTTCCAGGCCCGGCCCGGCCCGGCCCGTGACGGGCCTGGCCCGGCCCGGCCCGGCCCGTGCAGGCCCGTTTATAGAGGTTCTGCGAACTGCGCCCAAGCTTGGGATCTAAACTTAGGCAAAAAAGGCGTTGATATAGCTAGTAAAGGATCAATGTGATAGTTTTGTGGTTTTATAATGGAACTATAGACTTGTAAACGTTTTAGAACTTGAGAAACAGCAACTATAACAACATCAATTAATTTTCCCGGCGCGAAAACAATGAATGCCAACGGTTTGGCATTGTAATTTAGACGGGCCGGGCCGGGCCGGAAAAAACCCCAGGCCCGCGGCCCGGCCCGGCCCGTGACGGGCCCGGCCCGTGACGGGCCCGGCCCGTTTGTAATTTTCCATTTTTGAGCCCGGCCGGCCCGTTTGGGCCGGGCCGGCCCGTCACGGGCCGGCCCGGCCCACTGACCACCCCTGGAACAAAATCGCAAAGTAAGACACGACCCGGGTCAAGTCTTACACTAAAAGATTTTAGGTATGGATAACATCGAAAGCCGAGTTTTTGGGATAAAAATGGTTGATTTCTGTATAATAGAACAGTCAGAAGCTATAACAGCCGCCTTGACCCCTGTTTTCTTCAAAATTTCTTTTCCGATATTATCCATCACAAGCCCACTCAAATATCGGCTAAAATTAGGTACTTTCTTCCTTCGAACCTGCCTAAAATCAAAAAAGAAACAAAGTAAAAACAGCTTACCTGCTTTGGCTTCATGATCGGATCCCTTTCCAGCCAATACAACACATCCACACTGGGATTTCGCAGATGAACTAGCGATTCATCAAGTACAATCCCCAGTGAACGTAAAAAGCCGACAAAATCCTTGTCCGCCATCCGAACACACCTTCTCATGCCGCGAACATCGATGTGCTTCAGGAATTCCAGCCCCATTTCCGGGCATTCCACGGATTCCGTGGACAAATCCGAGCTCGACGACGCTGTGGACATGGCAAGTGGAATATCGAGAATTGAGGCCGAAAATTTGCGGCGAATCCAACTTTCAGATGAGCAATTCGAAGTAGAGTGGCTGTTGATGAGGTGGATTGGACGAATGAGCACTTTGACGACGAGAGTTGGACATTTTCGCCACGTTGTTGCATTTTTCGTGGGAATTCTTTTCTTGGTGGGAAAATCGACAACTTTACGACATTTTGTACGATGAGACATGTCCGAGAAGTTGAAGTGTGAGTTGTTCTTGGAATTGAGAGCTAGAAACTGCAAGAAAATCCAAGAATTGTATGATTTTTATAATATTTTATCAAGTGCAATATTATACTTGTCAAAACTTTGGAAATTTGATGTTTTCTCGCGATTTTCTCCTCAAAGAAGACTCTCTACGTTATAAACTTCTTCTAAATAATGTGAGGATTAGTTTATTGTGGACCTTTGTATATAATTTTACAGGAAAATTTGGGAAATTTTGAAAATTTGTACAATTATTACAATCTAACGCGAGTTTTGGTATTTTTTCTGCTCCGTAGGGCGTTGGCGGGTTTCTTGAAGAAGTTGGGAGGGAGTGGAGGGGCATCCGGGATCCGCGAGCGGGGCTTATCATCCACGTCGTAGTCGGGTTCGGGCTCCGGGTACTCCGGTTCCTCGGGAATCGAGTCCGTCGAGCTGTGATTTAGCTGAAAATCATCAAAATTTTAGCTAAAATATACGGTAAATTTGTCAAATATAGTCGATACTATTTGATGGTAGAATTGTCTTACCGAAAAACGTCTGACGAAGACCTCGTTGAAGTTCTGATCCACTTTATATCCAACATAATGCATCTCGGTGGGCGATGGAGTCGTGGCCGCGCTGCTGTCGCTGCTTTGCGAGTTCTGCCAGAAATCCGGCAAAACTGGGCGTCTAGGGCCTTTTTCTTTGATGGCCACTCCATATTTTTGTGCTTCATTGCGAACGGTCTGAAAAAAACGCAAATCTTATATTACACGTGGCTAGAAGCGAGTACTCCAAGTCCGACGCTCAGATTTTCTTTAAATTCTGCACAAACGTCGGTCTTGGACTAAGTATCAATTCCTGAAAGTTTTAGCTCGCGCTTTACAACCTCCGCCGAGATATTCAACGATCTTTGCCGCCGAGAGAGTACGCAAAACGCGGAGAGCGGTTAGAGAAATGAAATACGCTCTTTGGCCATAACTTTACTAGTTTCGTGCGGAAAAAATTGATTTTTTGTGGAAACATTGCCCTCTATGGTAGAAATAGGCATGAAACTTTTCGTGCCGAAATTCGGCAAAAAGCGTCAAATTTTCGCCGATTTTCGATCTAAAAATCTCGATTGTTTCTGCAAAGCGCGAGCTAGGATTCTCGCATATATTTTAGAAAAAATTAATCTAAATTTGTACCCAGTTTTATCAATATCTGAGCGTCCCACTTGGGGTACTTCCCTGTTAGATGAAAAAGTCGGAAAAAAGATATCAAAAAACCTAAATATTACAGTAAAACCTGCTAAAAACAAGAGATTATAGACAATGCTGTCAAGCGAGGTAAAAAAATTTTAAGCCAGAGCCTTAAAATACCATATTTTCTCTAAAAATGGTTTCTTCCTCGTACGGGGCTCGAACCCGTGACCTTGGCATCGCCTAATGTTTATAAGTACCACGCGCTAACCAACTGCGCCAACGAGGAACGCGCCGTGTTCCGCCGGAATTTTGGCTGTATTTTTGTACCGTTGCTTTCTTGAGGAAGACGAGTCAAAAGGGGAATTTCTCATTTCTCATTTCGATTATTATTCGAAATGGGGAGACAAAGGGAAATATTGTTTTTGATGTTGGTTTAGAGATGAAATTTTAGTTTTTTTCGAAATTTTTGATGAAATTTTTAAAAAAATCTGAAAAATGTGGGCTTGAAAAAATTTATATTTTTTCCCAGCATAAAATTCCCAGCATAAAAATGTGATTTTTTTCGAAAAATCACAAAAAAAAATTTTTTTTTCAAAAATTTTTTTTCTTAAAAAATCAAATTTTCCTCCAAAAAATCGCCAATTCTCACCTTATAAAATCCCTGCCGTCCAATGGTCTGCACGAACTCCATTCCGACGCATTTCGGCCTCGGGATTTCCATGGGGCGCAGCTCGAATTTGAGCAGGTTCTCGCGGATGGTGGCAGCCATCACTCCTGACTTATCCGACGACTTCTTTTCGCTATTCCTGCAATAATACGAATCCTTGAATATGTGTGTTAAAGGAGTCACGGTGGGGGATTTGGAACGCGCAATAAAATGGTATGAGTAATATTAGACCTGACGTCAGCGGGTAGGCAGTTTGCGAGCGCTGTCGAGGAGCAGTTCTTGAGACGGATTAGGGCGTTTTAGAGCGATATTATACTAGACAGTAGCGGGAGATGAAAAAAAATTATTTTTTTTTTGAAAAATTTTTTTTGATGGGACAAGTACAATATAATTTTTGAAATTTTCTGAAAGTCTGCATAAATACTCTAAACGGTCCATGTATTAATCCAGAAAAATTTTGGCTTTTAATTTGCACTAGTAGCCGAGATTTTAAGCAATCTTTTTTTTAGAGAGCACGCAAAATGAGGAGAGTCGGCCAGAGAAAAATATGTTTTTTTGCCTGTATCTTTGCGGATTTCCATGGGGGAAAAATGATTTTCAGGAGGAATATTGTACTCTTCATGTGTAATAAACACTGATTTTTTCAACCTGAATATTGCAAAAAAAATTTTTTTGATAATTTAAAAAAAAATTTTTCAACCTAAAAATCTCGGTTTTTTCTGCAAAGCGCGAGCCAAAAATCCGGAATATAGCTTAAAAATCAAACTCAAAATTTTTCAAAGAGTTCTGTAAAAACCAAAATTTCATACCGAAGACAAAAAATTGGCCCAAAAATTACAGTACTCCCATCTCATTTAGCAAGAATCCCATCACAAAAAACTCGGAAATTACTACTTCATCAATCACAGCTTACCTCCCAAAACAACGCGCGGCGGATTTGTTGGGGTTCGAAAGCAATTTTCGATAAAATCCACGAAAAGCTCCTTTTTTGGGAGAAAGTAAAAACAAAAGGAATTATTTGCGGCATACGAATCGAAAAACAATAGAATCGAAAGAAATTTAGAGTAAAATGCACTTGAAAAGGATTGAAATAAAAGAATGAGAGATTTTTTTGGTATGGCAAAATTTGAGGGGTGAAAATTTTTTTGTTTTTTGAAAAATTTGGTTCTATTACAGTCTTCTTGGTAGCCTAAATTGAGCGCCAATAAACTAGAATTATGAAGCAATTAAGCGAAGATGACTGTTGATTTCCGCTTCATAATCAGCAGAATTTATAGACCAGCCACTCCTGAAAAAATCTCGCCCACGGGTGTTTGAAATTAATCAAAAACGGATTAGCGAATTATTTACGACCATTACGGTACAAAAATTTGGCTTTTCTCATGGGTTATATACCCACGCGAATCAAGCTTTTTAAATTAAAATTCTTGTTATTGTTAAAGTATACCCTATTTACTCTATTTGGCTTGAGGTGTACCTCATTCTTTGCAAATCGCTAATTTTTGTATGCCAAATAACCGGCAAGGTAAGTACCCCAAGTGCGACCCTCAGATTTTCTTTAAATTTTTCACACATTTTATTCATAGGCCACTTATCCATTCCTGAGAATTTTAGCTCGCGCTTTGCAGGCGCAGCCGAGATATTCAACGTTCTTTGGGGCCGAAAACGTACGAGAAACGCGGAGAGCGGTCAGAGAGAAAAACAGTTTTTGGCCGTGTATTTGCCAATTTTTAGCAGAAAAAAGTAGATTTTTTGTGTAAACATTACATTCTATGGTACAAAGAAATATAACTTTTCATGCCAAAATTCGCAAAAAAAGTGCTGCATTTTTTCCAACTTTGGACCTAAAAATCTCGGTTGTTTCTGCAAAGCACAAGCTGGAAGTCTCGCATATGTCTTATAAGAAATTATTCTAAATTTGCGTCAACTTTCATCAAAATCTGGGAGTCGCACTTGGAGTATCAGTCTGTCGTTAAAATAATGAGCTTTTTGCCGCATTCAAAATCTAAAAGGGCAACTCAAAAATTACTGAAGGGTGAGTGGGTTCTTTGGTAAAATACGGGGCACGGAATATAGAAAGGAAAAAAGCGCCGTGTAAATTCTCAGAACTTTTATGCACCGAATAATATTTTTGATTTTAACAATCTGTCGGGAAAATAATGAGCACTCTGTCGCGGCGAAAATCGCATTGCCACCGAGAAAAAGAATTGTGTCACAGGAAAATCGAATTGCTTTCACTTCGGCAACGCGATCGGCGCAGCGACATTGCGTTCACTATTTTCCCGACAGACTGACTCTTCTACCGTAATTTCTATTTCTACGATCACTTTTCAATTCTCTGCACAGCTATTTTTTTCAAATTTTTTATAAAAAGTTGCCACTATAGCAAAAGAAAAGAGGCAAACTTAATTGTGTGAAAAGTTGTCTTTCCTCAATTAATTATCGGCTCTTGGAGCACAGAGAGATTAAAGCAACCCGCTTTCATTGAAAAGAATGTCTTATCAATCAGGCAGGAATTCGAATACTTTTTTTGGCTTCTACGACTACTTTTTTTTTGTCGCTGGGCCACCGGAAAGAGGTGCTTATGGTTTTGGCATCCATAATTAAAATGCATAATGTGCGATTTCTTATCAAATTTATTGTCATTACAAACAAGACTACAAGAATTTATTGCTGCGACTAATAAAGTTTAAAAGTTCGATCAAAAAAAGGGTGATTAATAAAAAAAAATAATTAGGAATTATGAGCATAACTAGAATTATGAGCCCAAAAATTTTAATAAATTTTTGAACCAACAAATAATTTGTTTGATTTTCGATGAGTTTCGATTAAATTTATACTGATAAAATTTGTATGATGATTAATCTGCTAATAGTTTTTTTTTATAAAAAAGTTAAAAAAAGGTTTTAAAATAAAAATGACGTCACTAAATACGCTAAAAAGAAAATAATAAAAAAAAGTTTTTTTTTTATTTATCATCAATTTACAATGAAAGGCTCCCAAAAAATCTTTACGTACAATGCAAAATAAATTTTAATGGAAATGGGCCATCAAAGCGTATGTTACATTCCGAAACTGCACTCGCATTTTTCATTCGTACTGTCACGATTTTTTTTTTGATATTTTTTGTCGCGCAGAGCCAGTTTGCGATGCCGGTCGCACGGAGCAAAAACGAAAAAAATGTCAAACCGCACGGTACGGCAATATCAGTCTGTCGGGAAAATAATGAGCACTCTGTCGCATCCAAAATGGCATCGCCGCCGAGAAAATGAATTGTCTCGCGACAAAATCAAATTGCTTTTCACTTCAGCGTCACGATTGCCGCAGCGACATTGTGCTCATTATTTTCCCGACAGACTAAAATTTCACAAATTTTTTGACCCACCTAATAATGCCATGCAAATTCTTCTAAATTTTCATATCATAACAAGTAACAAAGAACTCCAAAAAAACTCTCGAAAAATGTTTCTAATCGAATAAACAAATCATAAATTTCTTATTGCCCAAACTCTCGGCTTATGACAGTTCTTTTATCAGCACAGTTTTTTTTCTTTCCTATGTGAACAAGGTGCAGTTTTGAAGGATGGAAACACGTTCTGTGACGTTTCCAGGCATAAAAAAAGGCTTTACGTTTGTTGTTGTAACTGCAGACAGCAAGCCGTCAAAAATTTGGTATATAAAAAGTGAAAAAAAAAAAATTTTTTTTTTGATTTTTCAACAACACAATTCATTTTCTCGGCGGCGATGCGATTTTCGATGCAAAAGAGTGCTCATTATTTTCCCGACAGACTGATAAAGAAATCCATGAAATTTTAGCCCACGCTTTACCGCGGAAGCGATATTTAAGAGTGCTCTGCTTTTCAAGGGAGCAAGTGAAATCTGGAGCAGCGGCCTGACAAAAAAGGTTTGCGCCCATTATTTTTTGGTTCCTGAATAGAAATTTTTGATTTTTATCAGTCTGCCGGGAAAATAATGAGCACTCTTTTGCATCCAAAATTGTATCGCCGCCAAGGAAATAAATTGTGTCGCGGCAAAATCAAATTGCTTTTCACTTCAGCGACGCGATTGGCGTAGCGAAATTTTGCTCATTATTTTCCCGATAGACTAATAGCAAGAACATTATACGTCGCTACAGTAAATGAGCCAGAAATTTTCAAGACTACAATCACAAAAAATGACCATTTTTGCAACCTCAGATCAAAAAATTGCAGTCTCTATTCTCTAAATTTTACTTTGAAATCTACATTTTTTGGGACAGTTTATGCAAAATACTGGTTACTAAAACCCAAAAAATTCATCAAAAAAGACAAAACTTCTCAACTCACGAAACAAATTGCTGATTTCGCCCTTTCCCTCTCACCTAAATCAGACCCCAATCGTCTGCGCGAACTTTCAAATCCGCTCGATTTTTAGAGACTCACTTTTTTCGGATTTCCATTTTCTTTTTGTTTTTGGATTGCGCCCGCGAAACATTAAAATAAATTGTTGTGTCGAAGGTGAAATTCATGGTTTTTAGAACATGTTTTAGTCATTGATCCGAGCAATCAATTTCATCGATGAAAATCGAAAGCTTGGAAAAAAAGTTACAGTAACCCAAGGGATTTTTAATTTTTTTAAAACTTTCTGTATTTACTCTGTATAGGCCACATATTAATTACTGACAAAAGTTATCACAAAAAAATTTTTGAGAAGAAGAAATTTCTGATGTACAATACTCTGCGAATATCGCAATGAAAAAGTTGAATTTTTGTAGAAGTATTGTGATCTTCTTTTGAAAATATTACTGATTTTTTGGAGCCTAAATCAAAAAAAAAATCTAGTTTTGACCAGATTCTGATCCAAAAATCCCATTTTTTTCTCCAAATAGCAAGACAAAAATCTCGTATTTGTCAGAAATAATTTTTATCAAAATTTGCTTCAAATTTCATCAAAATCGAAGCGATGTATCTTAAATATAATAATTTCCCCATACGACTACAGTAACCCCCTGTAACAAAAGTTATTCCCAAAAACTCCAAAAACGAAAATGAAATCGGTCGAATCTCCCCTTATATCCGCAACACCACAAATGAAACGATGAAAATTCGTCGCCGATGGGATCG